AACTTTGCCCTATCCTGTGCCAACTTCACAATCTCTGCCTTGAGCAAGTCTACTGCCACATCATAGTCCTGTGTCAATCCCCCTTCTTGACGGCCTTCTTCTCTTTCTCTGATCCTTCACCTTTCCCAGTATGATATTTTTCCCAAAGCACTAATGTCCCTTCTGACAACATTACTAAAGTATGCAAAGTTGAACTTTCACCATCCTTGTCTCTGAGGAGCACTCTGGGTGTACTTCCTCCAAGACAAACTCGTTCTTTTGGCAGTTCATGCTGTATTAAATGCTCTCACCAACACCATCATTCAAAGGCATTGATTCTTTTTTGATCCTCTTTACTAAGTGACCAACTTTTAGATGCGTGAGAAACAAATGAAAACAGCATGGCTTAGGTGAGGTGCACGTTAGTTTTTAAAGTGACATTATTTCTCTTTAGCACTGAGGTCCTTGACAGGAAGCTGATTTGTTCAATGCAATGAGTCTTCTGATTTCTTGACTGCTCCCACCAGGCACAGTAACATACTTTCTTTTAAAATGCCTTATATGGCATAAAGCTGAAAAGAAAACTAATGTTTTAGGATCTAAATCCTCTTCAACAATTCAAAAATAACAAGTGAAGAGAAATTAAATGAAAATGTGATGAAAGCTATGGATTTTCTCCCAGAAAGATCACACAAGTACCTACAAGCAAAGCTCAGAAAACAATCTAAGAGGCTCCTAGAATTCCCGAAAGCCATCGCTTGTCCTAGAAGTCTAAATACTAAATATCTTACTGTCCAAAATCCACCCACTCTATTGTATTGTTGTTGTTTTGTGCTGTCAAGTCAGAATCAAATCATAGCTGATGAGTCCAGCAGGTTTTCAGAGATAGTTAATTGTACAGGAGGAGACTGCCCATCCTTCTTCCTCAGAGCAGCTGGTGGATTTGAACTGTATGACTTCAGGATTGCGGTGCAGCTTCTCACCCTAAGCCAACTAGAGCTCCCTATGCACTCTATTAATGAATACAGTAAAATACTTGGTTAAAAGTTGAGAAAATGGATATCAAATCTGAGTTACAAAATCAAAGAGAAATAGGTACATTAAATCAAGTCAAACTCTTTGCCACTGAGTCCTAAGTGACTCATAGCTGACTCACCAGTGGGCTATTAGAGGCTGTAAATCATATGGGAAGAGATTGTTAATTTTTCTCCCATGGAATAGCCAGTTGATTAGAAGTGGTTGTCAGGGCAATTCCTTACCCATTACGCCACCAAACTTGCTTAATTCAGGTTGTTGTTGTTGTTATTATGTGCCGTCGAGTCGTTTGCGAATCATAGCGACCCTATGTACAACAGCTCTAAACCGTGCTCTATCCTATGCCAATCTCATTGCCTCTGACACACCCATCCCGATTACCCCAGTCACTGAATCAATCCACCTCATAGAGGGCCTTCCCCTCCTGCGCTGTCCCTCTACTCTACCCAGCATGATGTCCCTCTCCAAAGACCTGTCTCTCCTTACAACATGTCCGAAGTATATCAGGCGAAGCCCCAGAATCCTTGCCTCCAAGGAACAGCCTGGTTTAACCCTCTCTAGGATGAATCTGTAAGAAGTTAAAATTATCTCTCACCAACTAAGTAACCCCAAATTATGCTCAATAACTTCTATTCCAAAACTAAGAAGAGAACTGTTTAGAATTGTAGAGAATTGTACTGGATTGGACCTGATGCATTTGCTGCAGAAGGTCAAGGATCGCAGTCTTCAATATGGCTTGAAGCTTAACATCAAGAAGACAAAGGGTCTCACAATTGACAGCACCATGATCGCTGGAGAAGAGATTGAGGTTGTTAACAATTTCAGCTTGCTCAGCTCCACAATCAACACTGTTGGCACCAGCAGTTAGGAAAAAGAAAACTAACTGCACTGGGGAAGTCTGCTGTCATGGACCTCTCAATAGTGGTAAGGAGCAATGATGTCAGTCTAGAGACTAAGGTGCGCCTGATCCAGGCCATGGCCTTTGCCATTACATGCTATGCATCAGAGAGCTAGACAGTGACGAAGGATGACAGAAGAAGAATTGTTGCCTTTGAGTTGTGGTGCTAGAGAAGAGTCTTGAACATACCATGGACAGCTAGGAGAACAAATAGGTCTGTCTTGGAAAGGGTGAAACCTAGTTTCTCTTTGGAGGCTAGGATTTTGAAGCTCTGCCTCACATGTTTTGGGCACGTGGCCAGGATGGACCAGTCCTTAGGGAAGGACATCATGTTTGGAAGAGTAGAGGGACAGTACAGGACTGGAAGACCTCAAATGAGATGGATTTCCATGATAACTGGGACAATGGGATTAGGTGTGCTGCAGTCAATGGGACTTCCTCAGGATAGGGCAGAGTTCAGAGCTGTTGACTATAGGGTTGCTCTGAGTGCACAACCCAAGCATTGAGAACTCTCCTTCATAGGGTCGCTATGAGTCGCCTGTGACTCGATGGCACTTAACAACAATAATATCAACATAAAGTGAGAGATCAGCTGGCCCAGTGGACAGAAAGCGATGCTACCAAGCCAAAGGTGGATGACTTTTAATCTGCAGCCCTCAGGCCTGTCTTTCATTGTTTTTGTTCAGACATTCTTCTAGGTCATATAGCCCTGGTGTACAAGTTGCTAATACCACGGTCACTTTTGGTTGCTGTGAGGCTGAACACTGACTGTGACACTAATGTGTCAAATGTGTTAATGGCTGGATACCCCAGAGGACAGAGAGTGGGGTGGAGCTCCCTGATTAAAACAAGCTTGGAAGGAGAAATGGCATCCACTTCCATAATAGCTTGCCTCTGGAAACCCTATGAACCTGGAGAGAGGATGAAAGGCACTCAAGTGTCAAGGACTCTCCTTCATAGGGTTGCTATGAGTCGCCTGCAACTCAGCACTTAACAACAACATGAGTGCACATGACTCACTGGCACCTAACAAGAACAACATTGCAATTGTTACAATAATAAATGTAGGTACTATGCAAAGTCTTTCTTGGCATTGCCAAAGTGACAGAAAAATAAATCTTTCTGGAGCTCTGATGGTCTAATGGTAAAAAGTTGCACTGAAAGCCCAAAGGTACGTGGTTCAAATCCACCAAGTGCTGCACAGGAGAAAGAGACATGCAATCCTTTCCTGTGGGATTAACAGCCTCTGAAACCTGCTGGAGGGTCAGCTATGGGTCAATTCCAACTTGATGGCACTCAACAACAATAGTTAAGAAAAATAATGTTAAGTAATGTGGATGTGGATAATAAATGACTTTGGAAAATGTTCAAATATTCTCAAATCACAAAGCATTAAAGACACCAGTAAATATCTAGGGAAATTGTCTACCAAAAAGAGAGAAAGAGAGAGACATGTATGGTTTAAATAGGAAATCAGCAATAAAAGAAAAATCAGGAGCTAGAACAGAATAAGCTGAACAGAGCTGCCTAATGGCAATCTGGATGACAAATGACAAAAGCTGTGTTTTGTTTTGTTTCTTTAAAAAAAGAGTAAGAGAAGCAATACATATTGAGTTTCCATTCAAAGTTAGACCTAAAGAAATTACAGAGAAGATAAGAAAAGCAAGGTAAATTCTGTATCACAGAGGGGAAACAATCTACATTTGCCCTTAACAATGAACCTAAGCAGAACTATTTGTTCTTCATCAAAACAATCAAAACCAGCTCTCTAGCTGAGATTCTGAAAAGAAAACCTCTTTAAAACAGAGACTTGAAATGTTTTAGAACATAAAATTCAAACAGAGCACCGAATACCTTCGGCTTAAGATAGCTAAGATCTTTATAAGGTCACAAAACGTCTCTGAAGAGCTCTACTGAGTATTTGAAAGTAAAATCATGTCTTGTGAGCATTCTTTTAAAGGCTTTGATAAACTTCAGTATTAGGATTCTTTCAAGATGTACTTTTCCATGTATTTTCTTCAAGCTGATGTAGAGAGAAAGTGTCTTGGTTGAAGATCTTCAAATATTTCGATAAATGCACTCATCATCATTGAGTAGCTTCTTCATTACTTTACAAATGTACAAATCAGGCTGTCAGGAAGTGTACTGTATTATAAGAATAAAGTCTAGTCTGAAATCAGAAATTTGAATCACAAAGAGGAGGCTCCCTTCAAACCCACGTTCCCCTTGGAATCCCAAAAAAGCATGAGTTTCTCTCATCACATTCCATTTCTCTGATGAGGATATAAGCATTTATGTGTGAAAAACTCTGCATTCCCTTGAAATATGTTTTCCTCAGGGAAGGAACTGAAGGATGAGCTTTCAATCTTTGTAGACCATCTGCGCACTCTCTTCTCATAGTGTAACCTTCAGGCTTGGCTCATTCTATTCCTAATTAAAAACAGCAAATGGGGGGGGGGAATGCCAGGTGTGGTATGGCATGGCCATACAAGTCTTCACCGGAGAAAATGTTTTCTTCATGAAATAAAAATAAAACTGAAATGAATTTTGAATCAACATGCCAAGATTTCCATTTACTTAAAAACACAGAAGTACCAAAACTGTAATACTAAAATTCTGACTGGTAAGAATAAAGATACCCAGTGTTTTATAACATTTTGAGTATATTATTGTCAAAACATAACATGCAGGAAATACATGATTGAGGAAAACATACATGGTATGTAAATATGTGATGAATGGCACAGCCATTTGCAAGAATTAATTTTTTTAAATAAAGATAATCATTTTTAAATGGCACTCACCAATGGTAATTGAAGATTCACAATGATAATAACCATTGCTTTGCTTTTTCTTCTCCATTGAACAAAGGTCTATGCGATATAATATTTCTTCTCCAAATTTGTGACTGATAAATTTTTCATAGAATTCAGGGTCTATTCTTTTCACTCCCTTGAAATGACAAAACAAAATCACATCAATGAATCATTTCACCCAGAACCATTTCCCAGTTCAGATTTAGATCATTTTCTCAAAAAAAAAACCCTGGTATTATGTTTTGATACACAACACTGCAAATGCAGACCATAAAATTCTTGTAACATTGTTTTTAAAGTTTCCCTTGCAGCTTAAAGAAACTAACATTACAGACTCTTGGGTTTGACGATGACAGTGTTGACATCTTCAGATACTTTAAGCTGCGGAAACAATAATTATATCAGGTAGTAAACGTAAGCAAAGGTACGCTAACCATCTCTAACAACAATGGACATACAGCTGAAATAAGCAATGGACATATGGGTGGGTCTTAACATTTAAGAATCAGAAAAAAGTTTCTAACACAAAAATCATGAGAGAGAATGAAAAGTCCTCCGACTTGAAGACAAGGGAGGTCAGTAAATCATGTCAGTTCATGTCCCCGAAGTCATAGTCTCTCTAAACTTGCATAGCAAGGCAGCAAAATACCCTGATACTTTTGTAGTTACACCAGTTGAGGGAATAAATGTCTTCCCATAGCTTTATATACAATATAATGATCCTACAGCCCAGCCTCAAAGTTCCAAGAGAGTGTTGGCAACATGAAAGCACAGAATTTTACAGAATAGCTTTCCTGGCTGCTGTATGCAATCTTCTAATGTTTAACTTTTAATATTACCCTAGTAATAACTAGGACTAAAACTCATTTCTTAAAAAACAGAAAATATTCATATTATTGAAAAAAAGAAAATACAAATCATTCCTTAAAATGCGATTTATATAAAATGTCTATTATTACTATGATTTTATATGTATTTCAGGGCTATTTTTCCTGATAGTATAGGTATTATATTTAGACTGTTGTTGCATGCCATCCAGTTGGAACTAACTCATAGCTGACCCTCCAGCCGGTTTTCAGAGGCGGTTAATCTCATGGGAGGAGACTGCCCAACCTTCTCCCATGGAGCAGCTGGTGGATCTAAACCTTTTGGATTGCAATTCAGCTTCTTACAAATACAGGTATAAAATTTTACTAAAGTACAGTTTATTATTTTCTCCAGTGTGTTGATAAAATTTATGTAATTACAGAAAATTTAGAGATAAATCAAAATTAAAATTGAATCATTTCAACTGTTACTACTCTATTTTTACCTTTTTATTTATTAAATAAAAATGCAATGTGCTGCTTTTCTCGTTTATAGAAATGTAGTTATTCCTTGAGTAGTAATTGACTGCTAGCTTTTTCACCCCCCCATTGAGCATGTCATATCACGAAACAGTGTACAGACATGAAAATGAAGTTTTATATCTGCACAGAAAGCCACAGAAAGTATCATTTATTCATCCTACTTTTCATTGTTTCACAATTAACAAGTAACCAGTTGCAAATGAATCCATTACTATGGTGGTTCTTGTGTATCAAGCTTCAATTGTATCCCACAGAATTTACAAATTTTTTTTCAACATATAGAAACATCTACTTTCAAAAAACCAGATCTATTGAGTAACAGTAGTAGCTGGGTTCTAAAGTTAAATTCTATGACTGGGTTGCCTGGCTAGGTGCCATGGCTAATTTTATTTTTATTTTTTTTAAGTAGGTTCACTGGTTAATTAGTAGGATTGCTGCCATGGTTGATTTTTATGGATGAGTTCTGTGGCTGGGTTCTGTCACTGTTTCATGCTTGGGTCTTGTGCCTGGGATTTACTCAGGGATCCATGTCCACAGGATTTTCAGTGGCTGCTTTTTGAAAGTAGATTACCAGACATTCTTTCCATGGTATCATTGGGTGGACATGAACCTCAAAACTTATGGTTGGGAATTAAAATTTTTAACTGTCTAAATTATAGATCTGATTCAAAATGTCCCATGCCAAGTCATCTCATTTCACCAATATCTAGTATGTCAATATTTATGTCTTCCACTTCTTTCTTAACAATGTCCAATTTTCCTACATTCATGCTTCTCACGTTCCACATTCCAATCACTAGTGTCTCCTTACAGCTGTTCCTCTTTCTCCGTGTTTCCATTTCTAAGATCTCAGTTTCAACTGCCATGTTTTTTAGTCCAAATTATAGCCTAAGTGTGCTCTATTGTTCACAGGGTTTTCGAAGTCCTGTCATTTCAAAAGTGGATGGCCAATCCTTCTTCTAGTCTGTCTCACTTTTTAAATATATATAATAGTACCTGACAGACAAGCATTCTACCCCCCAAAAAGCAGATGAAAGACATTTACCAGTTAGAAAAAGACCAATATTCAATGTTGTTGCCCACCCAGCTACATATTTGGTTGGGGTTTTGGTTTTTTTGGGTTTTTTGTTTGGTGTTTGTTTGCTTTTTGTTTGGCTGTGTTTTTTCTTTTTTATTTAATCCACCCTTTCCCTACTCCACCACCAACCCTTCCTATTTTTGCGTACAACATTCAACACCCGTCTCCCATTAACCAGCCAGGATTTCTCAGATTCTGACCATATTATGTTGCTGTCAGTTTCTTATGAAGCAGTCAGTATGACTTCAATTTAAAGTTATTACGTACAACTGTCATGTACAGCTTCTTTTCTTGGAAGGTCCTGAGAAAAAAATCCTTGTTCTTATTCCATTTCAGGATTGACTTCCTGTGGGTTAATACCACTTGTCTTTCATTTGCAGCCTGGTGCTGATGCGAGCAGATGGCTTCCCAGGAGAGAGAATGTGTCCTCCTGGACCAGTGCACAACTTTTGTTTCTTGGCCCGAGGGCCCAAAACTAATTCTTCGTCGATGGCGTCCTCAGGGGCCCCTTTCCCTGTCTTCCCGGAGTACCTTAGGTGCGGCATGAGGAAAGCTCCGTCTCTCTCCCATCCCGGTATCCCAAAACT